TAGAATTTTAAAGACTCCTATGAATACTTTCTTGCTTTTTCGAGACCGTTCGATTCAATGATAAATATTTTAATGAACGTATAAGAGTTGCGCAAAAATGTTTTGCAAATCAAAAAATTGTGAGTATAACTTTGGAACTTTCACCGTTTAAAATGTCTTATCTCTGAATATGCATTTCTAAACTTTTTTATCCAACCATCTTGAGAAAGGCACAAGTAAGTGATATTTTCTACTCTAAATACGTCTTCGTAATTTCGCTTTTGGGAGGAAAATCTGATAAACAGAGTTGAGCATTAATTATTAAATTGAATTTTAATTTTTTTTTGTCTTATGGGGTTTTGTTTGCTGAACTGTGTATCTTTTCACATATTACTTGCATGTAAACACCAAGCTTTTCATATAAGCTTGCAATGTTAGTTTTGTTATACTTTTTCACGTTTGTCATCTATTTTAGCTTTGAAGACTAAGCTATTTTACCCCTTCGTTTGGTCGCAGTCACTCTTCGCTTCACTTAATTGGTCTGAAATCGTTTTTACGTTGTGGTGGCGTGAATGCTTCATCTTGATTCTTTAGAATGTAAAGGCTCGCATGTTTTGATTGCTCTCTGGTGAGGCTTAAGATGAACTAAAAGTCCAATAAGGGATAACTCTTTAATAATCCAAAATGCGAACACAAAATGGGGCAATATTTGAAAGGATTAATGATTCAAAAATAATCGGTAGAATAAACTTTTGGTATAGCTTTCTTTGTACAAGTGAGAAAAGCCTCATTTCCTCATGGCAAAGGCGTTCAGAGACTTTCATTTATGTTATCCTATGTTCAAAACTAGCCTAATGTGGGTTAACTTGAACCCAGCAGATAAAGTAATGCCCTATAAATTTTTCTTCTGACCATTATAGCAAATTTGAATTTGACGCTGGAAACGCCATGGCCCGATTTTGTGCAATCCTTTTAGTCTTTTTAGTGGCTGTTTTTTCGACAAATGCACATAAAGATAAAGTGTCTTCTCCTCCAAGCTCTGAGTTCATAAAATCAGAAAACGATGAACAAATACAGTATTATGGAGAGTCAATTGAACCTCAGAACCTGGAGAAGCGCGAAGCTTGCAGGGTTGTGCCGATTGATGACGTACATCTGACGACGGCTGCGGTTGAGATCGTTGGAGATCTGTGCTACAACGCAAATGACATCAAAAGAATGCTTAGGCTAATAAAAATGCTTATACAAACTATGTCACATACAGAAAGTTGGAGAGCACGATTAGGATGGTCTTACAGCACCGGTGCAACAAAGGGGGCTAAAAAAGCCCATACAATGCTCGCGAAATATATGGACAAGACGATGAGCTATGTTACGCAAATGTGGATCATTTTTAAATCTCCGAGATGAATTAGCACACCAGTCTCTTACATTATTCAGGATTAAAGGGTGTCTGCATTGCAGCCCTTGGCTTCCTTGCCATTTCGACGCACTTTTAACTCGGATATATGTATTGTTTCGCTCGACCATTGTCAACAAAAACTGAAGCTAAATTTCACATTTGTCACAGCAACAGTTTTAGTAACCTCAAAATCAGTGCATTCAAACCAAGCAGTTTAGCCAGGAAAAAGATAAAAAAATTTTTTTTCCTTCGCAAACAATATCATATAATATGTATAGAATTCAATTCAGCTTTTTAGCTTGGCTTCAAAATTTGACGAGAAATATAGGAGTCAAATCTACTAAAAGTGTAGCAACATAATCATTATAGAGGGTAAAATAGTAAGGAAAACCAAACCCCAATATTAATTTTCAAAAAGCATGAACCTTGGAATCATTCTGAACACTCAATTCATCAGTATACGCCTTAAGTATGTTTTTTCCAAGCATCAGAGACTAAATGGCAAGGGGATATATCCAGGCTTTTGTCTGATCTCACAAGAAATTTCGACAAACTTGTCAACTAAACTTGGTTGGACGTTGCCTAGCGGCGAGTCCCTCATTCTGATGCATAAACACTTCGATCAAAACGCCTCGTCCCACAACAACCTTGGCTGAATGCACATTGGTAGAGAAACTTTCGAAAAGACAGGGAAGGCGAAATCACCGTAAAAAATAAAATTGATAACAAGATACAAGAGCTAGTTTTGCTGATAATGAAGCGCTAAGGTATCATTTTCTTTTAGCTAATAATTTCACTCACTGTTATCGCTTCTTGTTAAGACAAGATAATGTGTTTATATTTTGTTCAAAAACGAATTTCTGAGTTCCAACGGCTTATTTAAATTATTTTATTAAATTCTTAGGCAATTTAACTTAGGAAAATTCGTCCTTCAGGATTCATTCATGTAAAACAAGGCATTTAGGAACATGGTTTCCTGATTTACTTAAAGAGAGCTACAAAATATTCTCTATATCATTTAACTCGAAAAAAAGACAAATAGGACCAGTTAAGAACAATAGTAAATTTAGGTCGCTTTGGATAAGTAAATTTATATACACAATGCTAATAGCATTAGTGAATCAAATAACAAATTTATTAAAGCTATTTCACCTTGTTTTCACAACTTGCTTATGTTATAAGGAAGACAAACGAACTTTGTACAGTGTCTGTAGCAAGCATGATAATTCCCAGAGTCGGAACCTAAAATTGGCACAATCCCATACGCTTCGTCGGCATCGTAATCAGCATTGTAGTTAACATCGTTAATGAGCCTTGCTAGTCTTAGCACCACACCACAACGCGTCAAAGAGACAATTGGAGTCAATCCCTTGACCACTTAACTGCTGTTATCTCTCCATCTACCCTGTTGTATTCACCTATCGTATATCCTCGTAACATTTCTTCACATTCACAATTTTTACTTGCTCAACCAAACCTAGATAAGGGGTGCCTTTTTGAGCGGATTTAGATAGGCCTATTAGCTATTCTTTCTTGTTACCTCATCCCCAACTGTGCTGAAAGTATTGATCTAAGTATTGGAAACGTCAGCTCTACTTATATCATTGCGGGAAAATTCAACTACCAGGCTTTCATCACCTTAAACGAAATAGGGTGAATACATTTCATATAATTGATTCATGACTGCCATTTAATAGGCATTCGTATTCCTCCAGGTCCTATCAGAGTCTCCCTCTTGCTACATAGGCGCCGACGCTTATCACTCTAGTTCACTGATTGCACCCGATCGCTGCTTTCAAGAAAGATAGGCGAATTATTGAGGAAATGGCGTGCCAAGACAATGTATAAAGAAACAATAACGCTTTACTCGATCATGCCTTCTTTTAGAGAATCTTCCGTCGCCCTCTGCAGATCAGGTTGTTCTAAGGTTTGGTACTAATGAGGTAGTGTCTATGTAGGGGAGACTTGTCGACACATACATAAGAGGCTATCAGAGCTCAGAACCCCTTGAAAGGCTTACGGATTCAGAAATCAGAAGGGGCTAACATGTGCTCGCTACACGACACCAGATAGAGAGGTCCTACTCCCAAAGTTTTGCCGGGTATGGGGACTTCATAATATAACAAAAAAAATCCTGAATGAGAAAGAGGAACGAATGTACGAAACTAAGTAAGAACTATCTCTGGCTTCTAAATAGAATGAGAGAGCGAGAGAAAGAAAAGGGAACAGGACGAACCACTAAGTAAGAGGAGAAGACTAGACAAAGCTGGAGCCTCTTTTTGAATCTAAAATTTTAAACCAACTCGGGGTTGTTGCATAAACAGGCAAACACGCTTGCACGAAGCTGTGAAAAGACCAGGGACTAATGGATCATGCGTTAGCTTATTTACATAGACTAAAGATGTCAACACATCCACTCCTCCGTCTGCATCACTTGACCGACTGACATGCATTTAGGTGAAGCATAAGTCGGCCAATCAAATCATGTAATAGAATTTGATTCATCATGTTTACGAAAGTGAGTCATATTTGTAGGAAGACCTATAGGAACGCACCAAGCTTGAAGTCCATAGTATGCATGATAATTTACAGATTAGGACCGTTGACGTGGTACAATTCCAGAAGTTTAGCCGGCATTGTAGTCGGCATCTTCAGTAAGCATAGCCAGACTTAGCACCACACTACAACTCGTCAAGGAGACGAGTGTAGCCGATCCTTGAACCAATTGTCTGCTAGTCAATCGTAGTATCTCTCCTTCCGCACAGGGCTAATCACCAAACAACAGTGAGTCTTGCCATTCTTCGCACCAAGATACAAACTTGTCAAATAGACAAGTAATGATAATCCCTTGACCAACATTCTGTTGAAACGGTTAAACTATCACTCACCTTTCTGTCCTGGTCCTTCTATCCATTTCCTACCCTCTTGTCCCGCCCTCGACCTAGCACAACAATTATGGATCACGTCTATGATAAGTAAGTCTACTGTTATGTAGAAAAACTGGGTTTCGAAAAATCCTTTACTAGATTGGTGTTGAACTACCTTCATTTTGTATAAAGAGGCGAGTGGAAGGGATTAGTGAGTTGCCTTCACCGGAGACTGGGGATTGCAACTATGGTTGTAGATTTGTGAGAATAGGTCCTTGGCGCACTGCTCTGCAGTCCCGATGAACCCTTGCTGAGCTTTTGTCCGTCATTCGACGTCGTCATAGCAGGAGACTATGGTTAACGATAATTCACCAAAAACATGAAGACAAGAAAGGTGGCCGGCTTCAAACCTACTACCTTCTTAAAGTACAATTTGGTCCACATAGGCATCTCGTGTTTTGTTTGCTTTGCCTCTATATTTGCGAAATAGCTGCGGATGACATGTGAAGTGGCTACATATGAAGCCTGAAATGGGTGCAATTAAAACCGAGCGGCTGCATCCTTCCCTAAAACACCTACACCCTTGATCCTGCAATGTTACCGCATGTGATTGCGTCCCATTGTACGCGTCTTGTGTGATTGCATTGCTCTTGAAATGAGTGTGATGTAAGAGCTAAAACCAGATTCCAACGCAATCTAGACTCCTCCTGCTTGGTGGTACTTCTCGTCCTCCTCCCCTCTATCTATCTAAACCTGTCCAACAGCCACAAATAATTTCAACTTAACCTTCCAACCCTCATTCCTTCTATTCAGGGTTTTGGTTGTTTTGTGTCATGACCCAGTTTTTATTCATATTTTGGCTTTTTTGATGATTTCATTTGCGTGGCTAATCTTTCGCTTACTGGCATTGTCTCCATATCCAGCTAAGTGTCTGGCATTAGACCAATCTATCTGGCGTCCTGTGCAAGCCATGTGTCCGGAAAATTCCGATTTTTGGTCCCACATACCCTTGCAGGCTGTTTTGTGTTCGGATAAGCTCTTGTGCATGGGACGACAGGTCACTGCCACATAGGCACTATCACATGAATACAACATTTTTACTTGCTTATTTTGATGTGACATGGTGTTCCCTTTTAAGCGGATTTCATTAGAACTCTCCACATATCATGATGGCATCCACAAGAGATGTGTCAGTATTTTCGTGTGGTGCCGGCAGACTGGTGAAAAGTGTTGTCTTCTCCTTTTTTATCAACTTGATATTTCAATTTCTTATTAACGGTCGAAACCTTTGGTTCAGTTGATATGAGGGCATTAAATTTCACATAGCCTTGGTTTCCCAAAAGTTGTGATATGGCAAAAGGCCGGGACTTCCTTGAAATTCACATCTGCCATGTGACCCAAGGGCACTCGTGACAATGTGGTCGAGTGGTTAACGTTTCAAGCTCCCATTCTGCACTGTCAAGGTTCGACTCCCGCTGGGGCTATTGATAAGACCGATGCTAGGTCGAAACTGCAGTCCACCCTATATGAGAACAACATTTGGGAAAACAAGGCTAGGTGAAATTTAATGGAAACGTCAGCTCAACTAATATCATTGTTGGAAAATTCTACTACCAGTCCTTCATCCCCTTAAACAAACTTGGGTGAATATATCTCTATATTTCTTCCAATAAATTATCTGAGGTACTCGTTACTAAGGCAGCTTCATGTCAGTTTATTCAACTGCTCGTCCCAGAACTCAGTGCCCGTTAGTCGTAAGCTTCTGATGATCTGACTCCTTAGTATTCCGATCTTCAGTCTGATGTTATAGTGAGACTCAAAATTAAGGATTGTTTTCCGTATATGAATTCTTTCTGTATAGTCTTCTCATGAGTATTCCGTTGGAGGGCATTACTTCAATATCCACAAAGGGTAGTCGTTCATCCTCCTTCATATCCATTCTGAATTTAATTCTTTCATCAAGTTGTGTAATGAAATTTAGGCATTCATTTAAATTTTCCGTACCGTGTGGCCAAAGCGCAAAGTAGTCATCCAGGTATCGAATACGCATTC